CTCAAATGCTGAAGTCATTTCGCGTGCCCCAAGAAAGCAAGAGGACTCAGAACTCGTTCTGTACATTTCGAGAGAGTACACATTATCTCAGCCCCAACCCTCGAGCGTCGATTCCAGGGTTTAGGAAGCCCAGATGCCTAAGCTGTTGAATTGAGACCCCGCCATTTTCAAAGGTGATGGAAAGTATGAGGAACCACAATCGAGTGCAATTTGAGAGGTCTTTTGAGGTCCTCGGAAGCCCTTGTGGGAAGCCCCTCTCCGTAGCCCTTTTTGAGGGTCTGGTCCTACGTGTACACCACAGCGGCCGACACGCCCCGCGGTGAGCGGCGTTGGGGGAACCCAGCTGAAGCTAAACAGAGTTGTTGAAAATGTTTTGTGGTGACTCAGAAGGAGCGACTCCGAAGAGGGCTCAATTTCAAGGGTTATCGAGAAGCCTTCGAGAAGCCTTCTGGAGCCAAGCTTCCATTGTGACGTGGCCTTTAGCATGCTTCTGGACTGACAGATAAGATCCGGAATCTTGAAAGCAGCTCAAAGATTTGTTTGGGGGCGGTGTTGAGGCTCACGGTATCTCACGTTTCTCTTCGTGCCGAGCTGGCCACGAAAACATTTCAAAAGTGAGGTCTTAAAGGTGACATGTGATGACCCTGGGGTGGGCCTCTACCGAGACCTGACCATTAACCAGCTGCCATGAACATTCTCAGCCCAGACTGTGAAAGAACCTGATCCATACCACACATATCATCACATATCCACACATCCTAAGCCTCAAATTGTCAAGGCCGTTCACTGCCCGGGCCGTGGGCCGTGTGCGAGGACCCGTTCGGGTGTGCATGGATGGGGTTCAGGGCTGTTCAGGGTTCGTGGCTTGGATTTCAGGTTCCCTGGGCTTTAGATTGAAAGTGCTGTTGTTGGGGATGTCGGGCAATGTAGTGTTTTTGGGTTCCGGCATGTGAAGGCCTACTACGAGTCCAGGATCTTAAGCTCCAGCATCGCATGGCTAGAGCCCCCAAATCGCCAGCATAGCCGTAAGCTTCAGCAGATGTTGCTTTCATCCTGCGCAGAAGAACACCTCCTGTTGAGGTCAGTTTTTGGTGCCACGACGAAATGAGTGCTATCTAGTGGGCGATACCCGAGCATTGCTGTGGAGATGGGCAGCCTCGAGCCCTCTGAGAATGTCACGACAACCATCACTAACAGTCACTGCCTGTAGTCACACAAGTGCACACAATCTGTGGTGCCTTCACTTTTCCGATTGTTTTTGGGTGTGTGTTTTCGCCAGGACTCTCCTGTGGCGGGACGCGGCATAGGCCGGGGGCCGGCGGCCCTGGAATAGACACGCTTGCAATCCTGGCCTAGAATAGATCCTAAAGCCCCAGTGGGGAATACTTACTTCACAGCCCAACAATGGCACACGCCCGCCAATTCCATTCCATAGCAGGTTCCTTCATGGCACACGGTTAGGGATCCAATATGTTGATGTGCGCCAGACATGAAAAGCAGGAAAGTGATGAAGAGCTGGCCGCAGCTAAAACTTGATCGGGACAGGCCTGCCTCTCTGCCGCCTCTACGCGCTGTACCTTGGCGGCTCTTTGCATCTGATGTCGCTCGGCGAGAGTTCACAGGGAGGAGCGGAGTTTTTCTTCCTGGGTTTTGGGGTTTCCTCCCTTCACTTGCGTGATCTTGCGTGGTACAGTGGCACTTTGCTGAGTTGGTCCCAGTTCCCGTGGGTCCTCCAGGGTTCCGCTTCGAACAGGCAGGGGCTTCGGGTGTCCTTCACATTGTTCAGGGTCATTGGCCACCCCATAACCCTAAAGTTCGCACCAAACAGAGACGAACTCTAACGCTTGTCGCGGGAGCCCACCCAACAAAACGCATGCTCGACTTCGAGAACCTGCGAGTTTACGACGCCGCTGGTGCAAGGGAATCAGGGCATTTAGGATCTGCGCACAAGGGGTTTATGATTCGTGTCGGTTCTGGGATGTTGTGGGGGTATGGGCGTTGGGCCAGCATGGGGAGCGCCCCGTGAAGCCCTGATCTCAAATCTGCGGGTCCAAGTGACCTTCTTAAGGCCCTAGACACAATGTTTCAACACATTCAACCCTCAAGCCTTGTGCGGCCGGTCAGGAACCTACCTGGCTTGGGACGCCGATCTGAATTGATTGATTTTAAGACTTCGGGCTTGCTTAAGGTGTTTGTGGCCTTGTTGCTTGCTGTGGCGTGCGAAAGCGAAGGATTTCTTCATACATCTGCCGCTGTTGCTCATGTAGACGACGTGATTTTAAACGTGATGTATGCAGCGCGCAAGATTTAGGCATCTTAAATGGAGCCACCTTGCCCACGAAGACTCTTGCTCAGCTTGTGATTCTACTGCGCAAAGCTACGCCAGCATGGTTTTGCGGTGCTGTGAGTTTGACTAGTTTGGTAGGGGCTAGTAGCTACTTTCTATAGCCAGCTAAGTCCTCAGAGCGGAAAGGAGCGGTTTTTTGAAGGCCGACAGTCGACAGTGTAAGACAGTAAGGTGTACAGGAACTAAGAGCATGGCCTCAGCTGCCACTTATCTGAAGCTATAAGGACTGCCTTAGAGACCGACATGTGATTGTACACCAGAGCATGAGGCGTGGATGCGTATCTCTTCCTCAATCGGCCTTTTGGCGGAAGAAGGGTTGAGGGTTGATGGTTTGTATCCGGACTTTGAGCTTCCGGAAATCTCAATCACGCTTAGGACCCGGCTTCGCAGCCATCACGTGTTCTGAAGTTTGTTGCAAGTGCTTTCGGCAAGCAGCTGCAAAACCCACCAGCTCTCGAAATGTTCTGACGTGCCTTCGGAGTCGGCTTACAGCTGTTCTGCACGCTGGGGTTCGTCTGTGTCAGCTGCTTTTTTAGTGCCCCGCGACCTTTGACGGACACTGACCACTAGGCTTGTTTCATCAACCTGTGGCTGGTGACTTTCAGCTTTTGCAGTGGGAGTGATGGCAGGAGTTTGGGCTCGGGGTTTTTTCTTTACAGTCTGCGGCGCATGTTGTATATCGAAGCCTCAGCATCCAGCCAAGGATCGATCCGCAAGATGCGCTGGACAGCCTCCAGTGCTAATGACTACCAGCAAGCGGTGACGATCAACGCAATACGCTGACACTGTCAGAATGTGCTGAACCCAAAGCTGTCCTAACTCATATGCAGTAACACTGATCGTCCTCGTGGCCACCAGAAACCCAACATGTTTCCATGCTAGCTGCCGCGTAATTTCAATGGGCTGATCTTCTGGGAAACCACGCCGTTAGCTCTCCAGCCCGAAACCTTTGAACCACTCCGAGAAGATTGCCGGCGGCACCAAAGAACACACAGAGCACCTTCGTTCCCTGTCGCGCCTCGGAGCAAAAACTTAAGAGCACTACCTGAGATGTTCCAGTTTGCTGGGAGGCGAGCTGCGACAATGAAGGGCATGTGTTTGTTTCAATGCTTTTGAGTGGCATGGTGCAGGCAAGTGGAACGGGGGTCAGTTGGCCCCCCCCTACCCCCCTTCACACGCCAAACGCCAGCAGAGGAAATGGAGGTTCTCCTGTTCAAGTACACTGGAAACAGAAGTTTTGCTATGATGAATTATAAAAGTACAGGTTTTCCTACTTTTTTATGACGGAGGAAATAGAGGTTCTCTTAGAAAGATATCAGGGGGAATAAGGAAAGCAAGACAGAACGACCCAATTATAAATAGAAATAAAGAAAGAAAGGAAGGAACAAGATAATCGAATAAGTAGACACAAATACAGAATTAAGGAAGATATAGAATAACAGAATACAAAAAATCACGAACGAAAGAAAGCAATGCAGAAATAAGCAAAGCAAGAAATGAAGAATGAGCAAAATGCAGAAAACATAAGAAGCAAATGCAGTAACAAATCAAGACACAATCTTTGAGCTCCCCCCTCATCCACTTGTAGACCTTCACCTTCTTCCAGTTTACAGAGATGGGAAGACGATCCACCATGCAGGATGTAGGGGAAAGTACGGTTCCAGTTCCGATGAACTTCCGAGACCGGGAGAGTTCTTGTTTTAGTTTCCAATAGCAGTAAGAAGCAGTTAAATCTCAAAACGTATCGGTATGACTATTGTCAAGTCGTATGGTCACAGGTTTGACGAAGGACTTACATGCACATTGACCAATGTTGCGATCTGCTTTGAATTGGACGCGGCTTGAACTAGTGACCACACTCCTTTGTTTCAGCTTGGAGATTCAGTGTGCATCGGAAAAAGCATGAGCAGCTGAGCTCGGCGGGTTTCTCGAGTATCCGACTTGCATACAAATGATCAGGTTTACCAATACGTGGTAAGGTTGCAGCACGCTCCTGTAGAGTAGCAATTTTCCTACGCACGAGCCTATATGACCTTGACATTTCTCGGCGGCTGAACATACTCGAAGGGGGAAGTTCTTCTGGGGCGTCAAGCGAGTCGTACATAGTGACCACGCAGGAAGGCTTTGCAGGCTTTGCCTTGACACGGTTTGAAGGTTGCATGGCCTTCCTAGAAACTGTTTGCCAGATGGCTAAGCGTTTCAGCTGGTAGGCAGCGTATGCAGGCAGTTTAGGGCACTGCTTCGAATCTGCCTCAATGTCTCGTATGTAGGGCTGCGCAGTGGATTGCATACATTCGTGGCGTGAGATTTCGATGTTTTGGAACTGGGAGCTCAAGCATTCAAAGGCTCTCTGCAAGAGCGCGAAGCACGTGACACCTCAAAGGCCTGAACTCCTAAAAGTTTCAATCCTTATGTTTCGGCTTTACGTCCAAATGTAACGCAAACTCTGACATATTCTAAACGTGAATGGCGGCCTTGGCCCACTCCACCCTCCTAAGCCCCAACAAGGCACCACACCCAAGGCTGCAAAAGCTTGGCCCTCAAGCGTGCTTCAATCATCTAAACCCCTGGATCCTATTCTAAACATCAAAAAGCCGTTACAACCCGACAGCCCGGACCCTAAACCCATATCCCAACACGTCCGCTCGGGAAGGCCGATGCAGATGTAGAAGAGCAAGACTACGATGGCCGGGAATCCCCAGCGTTAGAGAGTATGTTGAGAGTGCAAGTAGCTGTACGATTCAGTTTGCTTGCAGTTTTGCGGTTCTGCATTGGAAAATCAGCAAGGGAAGGGGCTCTCACGCTCGTCGTGCAGAACTATCACTTTCTGTTAGCGCATGGCCACTTCCCGTCAGTCTCAGTTGTAGCTGGATCTTGTGCAGTTTGCATCTTGGTGTTTTCAGGGTTTCTTCGATTTCCCTGGCTTGTCCGTTCTTTCCTTCTTTTGCTTGCGACGGCTGCTGTATGGCGTCTTCCCAGACAATGACCCCAGTGCTGAAGCGGAGCAGGTTCACTGGAGAATTCAGCTTCACCCGTGCCTTCGGTGCGCCGCGCATTGTTCTCGGCCCTTGACAGCGTATGTGGGGTACCAAAACCTCCTCCAACAAAGCCCAAGACCTTGTCTCCTTTCGCTTCGCCCTCAGGCCTCAGCCCTGCTTCTAGGGTAGGAAAGCCTGTGCCAGGCAGGCTCTTTTGTGCGGTGCCAAGTATTCCGCCATCCTGGCCACACCTCAGGCGTTTCTTTGCGACAGCTGGAATCTCAGGAGCACTGCAGACTTGCTGGGTTGTGGGTGGGCCATGCCAAACTTGTGGCTGGAGATAGTGATGTCTTCCTGGACATGGAGGGTTGCGTTCGTGATTATGGACAAAGCGCCCTCTACTTGGAAGCGACACCTATCAGGTTGGAGGGCGTGGATTTCCTTCTGTGCCTGCGTGGGCTGGAGGGCAGGTGCTCCAAAGCTTGCGCGTGTGTTGGATTTCCTTCACAGCTCGACGGAGGGTGCAGCTTTGGACCGCGGGAAAGGTCGAGCGGCTTCAGCACGCAGCGTATTATCCGCGATTACATTTGCAGCGCATAAACTTCGCCTTGCTTCCTCGTTGGGATCGCTAGACAACCCGCTTTTACTGTCATGGAAATCGGCAGACAGGTGGGAGAGGCTACCTACCCGCGAAGCCATCCCCCTTCCGCTCACGGTGGTTCGTGCGTTTGAACGAGCGGTGGCCACCGATTGCGCAGAGGACAGCTGGATCCTGTGCTGCATCTAGCTGATGATTCATGCCTGTTTACGCTGGTCCGATGCCCAAAGAATGCGGGTGTCCAGTATTACGAGCGACCAAAGACATCATCAGTGGTTGGACATGGACTTCTGCGTCGGGCTTGGCTTGGGGCTGTCTGCGTGATGGATTCGAGACGTCTTGGGGCGATGCATTTATGGACGGTGTAGCCAAGCTTCCCCGTAGCCAGGACTTTCTGCTGGCGGGTTCAGGCGGCGGGCCAATGTCCTACAGCTGCGTGTTGGGTCAGTTGAGGCGCTGTCTCATGTGCTATGCGGGCTTGTCCGCGGAGCAGGCGCCCTCTTCACTCTTCATAGCTTGAAGCGTGCGCTCCTTTGCGGGGGAAATCAACTCCATATTAGCAAGGCTTTGCGTGCCTCGCAGGGGCACCATCGTTATGCAGGGGTATCTGGCGCAGTTCAGCTATACGGACGTGACGATGTGGTAGGGCAGATCAAATTTCCGCGTTCAGTCAGGAAGGCAGTGTGCGGTGGCTGGATTGCTAGCATTCCGTTGCGCCGTGGTGTCACGCGTCTAGTAGGGCTTGAGTCTTTGCGAATTCCTGGCGATGCGTGCGTGGGGCCTGCAACAGCTCTTGCGTCCAGTGAGACTGCTGATGGTTCCGAGAAGCCTGAGGATGCGGATGAGGATGGGCCGTCGGTGGTCCTGTCCGACGCCTCGTCCCAGGCGTGCGATGACGAGACAGTTGCAGAGGAGCAAACCTTTTCCGGACCATGGCTTCTCAACTCTAAGACAGGATGGTTCCGCCGTGCAGTGAAAATTGGGGACGCTGATCATTGGAGCTTGGCCTGCCGCCAGCGGGCTGCTGTGCAAGAGCAGGACGTCTTAAATTGCGGGCACTCCGGTTGCCGTGGCAGTCAGTGCTCCTCTTCGGCCCAAGGGCCCGCGTCAGTGAGCTCTTGTCCTGACGAGCGTCAGGCTGTGGCGTTGCAGCGTCAGGCGAGTGCCTACCCCATGCTATGTCTCTTCAAGCGCTTTCAGTGCAGAGGAGCCTCTAGTGACGGACGAGTGCCCGTTCCGCTGCCTTGCGTTCGATTGGCAGGTAGTTTGACTGCTGTGTGTTATCGTTTCAGTTAGACGTGTGTCTAGCTTCTGTGCTCCTGGTGCGGGCTTGCTATCGCGTGGCAGTTGCTTGCTTGTTCTGCGCTTCTTTGCTGTTATGGCGACGAGTGCCTGGCGTCAACTGCTGTTGGATGCAGCCGTGGCGGATGAGGTGATCGCCATCTTATCGGAATTGGGATATTCCAGCAACGCCTCATTCGCGTTCGAGTCAGAGGCAGTGTTCAAAGCCTTTGCAAAACATGCTCTGGTGACCAAGGGCTTGATGGCTGGTGTTACAGAGACCGCTTGGGTGTTCCGCCCTCTTGTGGGTGTGCTGCGCCATGTTTGGAAACAGTGCCTGCCTTCCGCCGCATCTGCGCTCGCTGCAGCCACAGCCCCACCCACCTCGGCATTGGCGCTGCCGGCCCCGAGCACATTGCGTGTCGGAGACCCCGGAGTGCCTGCAGGCAGCAAGTTGAATGTCAGCCAGCACGCCGCTATTTGGAAACCAAATATACGGGGCTGTGTGTGACCGAGTCCACGTTGCTGTCTATGTCTCTGTCACAGTCCATTCAGACTCAGGCGCGTCCAAAAGCTTGGGAGTGGCTACCTTGGTTAAAAGTGTTGAGCGAGCGTGCTGCCCTGGATGCCCGCGGGCGTAAGTTGCGTGCCTCGCGAGAGGAAACCTTGGATAAACTGCTGGGAGGTTCGATGGAGGAGGAACTTTCCCGTTCTCCCTACAAGCTTCAGGCTCTGCTCACAGTGCATGGGCATGCATATGCCATGTGTGGCGCTGGGCACCTAGGGTCCTGGTCACTGTGTGTTTCGATCTCGTTTCATGGAGTTTTACGCGGCGACCTTGCAAGAGCTCTTCCGCCCTCCCAGCTGCTCCCAGCTTGGCGGAGGCAGAGGAGGCGGACCGCTTCGGGAAATTTTTCCTTGTGCTTCAGCGGAGCTACTACCGATGATGCCATCTCCAGCGTGGTCGTGGATCGTGACACGCTTCGTCATCTTCTCGCGCCGCGCCCCAAGGTGCCTAAGCTTCCCAAGACTCTTCTCCCTCGCAAGGAGGACTGTAAGGACCCCAGTTCTGCTAGAAGCATTGCTGTGTGAAGTGTGGGGACCGTAATCACGATTCCAGGAGTTGGCACAGTCGGCGGCCGGCCTCGGCATCTGTGCCGACCCGCGTCCGAGCGTTTGTATTGGCTGGGACGCGCAGTCATTGGGGACATCTGCGGCGTGGCATGCTCCTTTTATCCGACGATGTGGATGCAGAGCTTCCAATCTTGAGTTCCTACTGGTGTTCGAGATAGGAAACTAGCTGGAGGTTCCGGAGAGACCTCGATGGAGTTATACACCTGGCCAGAGCCCTGGGGCTCCGGGCTTCAAGATCTAGAGACAGTTATGAAGTTGGTGCAAGAAGATGTCGACCTCGGCTTTGCGGAGTGGCTGCCCGGTGGATTAGCGGAAGCTCGTGCTCGATTCGGCACGGCTTGTGCGGCCGGGCGGCTCGAGAAGGAGGGTACTGATCCACGCTTGCTGGGTGACAGCACAGTTTCTGGCGCCAATATTCTGTGCTGGATTGCCGAGCGCATCGAGATGCCTTCCATCCAGGATGTCGGCGAGTTCCTTTCCAGGGACCCAGGCAGCCTTTGGGCGGCTTCATTATGGATGTTTCCAAGGTGCGCAGGCGGGTGAAAGTGGCGCCAGAAGATTGTGGTTTCTAGCCAAGGGCACGCCCCTTAGCTCATGTACAAGATGTGTCATGTTGGGGGCACCTGGTCCGCCTATTGGTGGTCCCGAGCCGCAGGGACCTTTGTCCGGATCGGACAGAAGCTCTTGCATGTGCGTCGCTTTCTCGCGGTGTATGTGGATGACAACTTTGCCTTGCTCCCGCTGCGGAGGCGGCGTGCTTCTACCGCGACACGATCCAGCTGGACGTGGCCATCCAATTGGTGCAGAGCGCTGGGCCCAAAGTGGTTGCGGCAGCAGACGCTTTTGCAGATGGTGACCGGGCTGGGATTGGGGGGTGGATCCAGCCCGAGCGGCAGCTTCGCCCACAAAACATCAATTGGTCCTCCCTTCTCTTTTCTGCCGCGAGGACTTACCGGAGTGGCTCCAAGCAGAGGATTTGGCGTCTGTGATCTGTGCGCTAGAATCCGCTAGAAGCTCTGGCGCAGTTTGTGCTTTGTCTTGTCTTAGTTCGTGAAGTTGCGCCGCAGTCATGCTTGGGCCGAACGATCCTACGCCAGCAGTGCGACAACCAGGGAGTGATTGGAGCTTCTACGCGAGGGGCATCCATGACCCGGCCACTTTCAGGGGTGTTGCAAGCCACTGCCAAACTCTGTCTGGAGCAGGGTGTTGCGCTCAAGATATCAACACCTGGGCAGATGCCTTGTCCCGCGGCCGGCCAGATTTCTGGAGACGACTGCAGCGTGCCTCCCAACACCAGGTAGCCTGGCGTGGGTTGCTGGATGATTTGGTGCCTAGGCCCAAGCGCCGGGTGTAGATTACCTTAACAGCCTAGACAACAGCTGCGCGCGAGTGAATGCGTCGACTTGCTAACACGCTAGCGCTCTTCTGTGTTTTCCCCTGCCACACTTAGGAGCATGCTGGCGTGTGTCGCCCCTCCCTTTCCTGCGCACTGGCGAGTGTCAGTTTGACAGGTGTCTGCAGTGACCTTTTTGAGTCTGCGCGTGCAGGCCTGCGTGTGTGGGTCTTGCTCCAGGCAAATGCATGGGTTATGTGCCTGGACCGCGCTTCGTGTGGCGTGGGACAGTGGGCGGCCGGCCAGACACGTGTTAGCGGCTTTGCTTTGGATGATATAGAAGCAGCAGGTGGCCCAGTGGCCCATCCAACTACAATGGATGAATTCTGCTGCCGCAAAAAAGAGTGTGTCTGCCCGCGCTAGCAGTGCCTGCGTTGACATAAAGTGCACGCTCGTTGCGCAGAACTATCACTTTCTGTTAGCGCGTGGCCGCTTCCCGTCAGTCTCAGTTGTAGCTGGACCTTGTGCAGTTTGCATCTTGGTCTTTTCAGGGTTTCTTCGATTTCCCTCCCGCCCGCCCTGATGATGCGGCGCCAGGCACTGCAGCAGGTGCTGCTGATGGCTTGCAGCCGATTTGGCTGCCGCAGTGCCCGCGTGGGCGCGCAGATTGGTAGGCCCCATGCGGCCGGATGATGTAGAAGCAGGACGTGGCCCAGTGGCCCCTCCAACTACAATGGATTAATTCTGCTGCCGCAAAAAGAGTGTGTCTGCCCGCGCTAGCAGTGCCTGCGTTGGCATAAAGTGATCGGGAGGGATGCAAAGAAGAACAGGGAGCAGCTGGGGAGCAGGGAACTGAGGAAGCGAAAGGGTGCAAGGAAGGAAGCAGCGCAGAGGCGAGGAATCTGTGCCCCAACCCCCCTCACCACCGAAGCCAAGCCATTCGTCACGCGACGCGGTTGCAGGCCTTCAAAGTATTGTCAGAGAAGTATGGTACCTGCAGGGTGATCCGGCATATCAAGAACAGATTTCGACTTGGGCTGGACGAGGCAACGTATTTATGGCAAAGACTGAAGCAACAACAGCTCAAACAATAAAATCGGCAACGTCCAGAACCCTGCGAGCTCAAAGTCCGGAAGCCCCTGCAAAGCAACGAAAAGGTTCGAAAAGACACAAACCCGACGTACATGGAAAGGCGGCTCCTTCAACGCCCATGAATCGAACCTGTCGAACCTCTTCGCGTGTGAAGATGTTCTTCCTACTTGGGTTGAGGGCTGGTTGGGTTCACAGCTTCGTGCCAGAACGAACGCCTTTGATCTGGGCCTCCCGCCTGGGCCACATGGCGGTTGCCCGCGCCTGAGGTCTTTGGAGGGGAGATGGGGAGCAGGTTAGCAAAAGTCTGCCTGCGCATCCCGGGCAGAGAAGTTGAAATGCTGGTCAGCAAAAGGCTAGCGAAGGGGCATCTACAAGTTTGCAATGTTCCTAGACAAGGTCGTTGGCGAGGTCGATGCGGGCTTTGCATTCTAGGGCCTCGAAGGCTTTGGACACTGAAATTCCCAAGCCTGCCCCCTTCGTTTGTGCAGATTTTTTGCGCAGATTGTTCTTCGGATGCAGGACTGACAAGTTCAAGGTCTGCACGTGATGGCCAGGTGCCAGGGCTCTTAGACGACTAACAAATAGTCCCAGGTCAAGATCCTCCTCAAGGAGTGCCCCGATCTCACCTGGCGCGACAAAGAAGGACTCGCTTGTTGGGGTCAACAGTTTCGTGTTGTTATTTTTGTTTTTAGATGCAAGCACTGCCTTTCGATCGTCCTGCGCGCGGCATGCTTCCTTGGTAAGCCTTAGTAAGCCTTAATATACCTCGCTTCGGGATGACATTGGCCCCAGCTCCGCTTCCAGCGATGTTCGGCGGCTCGAGGGGCCTGCTGTCAACTGACAGCGCCCAATGGGCACCCAGTGCGACAGTGCGACAGTGCAATTCCAATAGCTCATGCGCGTCACTTGCGGCAGAAGTTGACAAGTCACCGAGTCTGCATCGGTGAATGGGTCCTCCTGTTTTGCGCCGTTTCATTGTATCCGCATTCCCTGGAACATCAAACATTTTGTTCTGGAAGCTCACAAGTGATCACAGTAAAACTAATAGGAAACCAAGCGCTGGCCCTGAAACTGAATGAAACATGCATTCTTCGCCGCTAGTTGTAGTGAAACGTGAATAACCTGACACTGCCGCATTCGCATTCAAGTTCACCACCTCCCCATATTCCAAAACTGATAGGGTTAACCGAAGCTACAGGAAGTGTCGCAGAAGTAGCAGCAGCATTTTCACGGCTAGCCGTAGTCGCGAGTATAGAGAACACAATAGGTTCAAGCATGTTAGCAAGCCACCTGATCGGGCTGAAAGGTCTCGAACCCTTGAACTGAACATGAACATATGGAGCTCACTGAGGAACAAAAGGCGTGAACATCCAAAGCAGAACTCGAGGTCCCGCTTGAAAAGCTCAAGAAGCTCTCCCAGATTCCCCAGATTCCCCCCAAAACCAGGGCTCACCGCGCTCGACCACTGCCGGGAGCACCTCGAACTTCGTGCAGCAGTGGTGCTGGTGGCCCGTCTGAGGTTTGGCGACTGGTGAGTTTGCAGCTCCGTGATGATGTTGTGGATCGACGGAAGTTACCACGTTGGGAAAGTGGCAAGTGACACATATCGATGTGAGATGACCCTTCGAACATTTTGCAAGGTGCGGACAGGTTCATAGGGCTCGACAGGGCTTGAGGGGCCAATTCGGGGCACAGGGATTCATATGCAATGGAACGTAAGGACTGATTTTTCAGGGTTCAATTTCAAGCTGTTCGTTTCATAGTCAAGGCTCGAGGGTGGCCGGACTTGGAGGTTGGTAGGCGCTTAGGCAGTCCGCAGCCACCGCAGCGACCCGAAAGTTGAATGACCCAAACAAAATGTTAACAGAACTGAACCAGCTGGCTGTCATGGTACTTTTCAAGCACAACCGGTTGGCAAGTGACCCAAACCCAGAAAACGTTCACCTGTAATTAGCGCGTTGGCCTTCAGCAAAGTTGAACGAATAATAGCACTGCGGACGTTGCCCATACAAGCACAAAGATGCGTGACGTGTAAAGCCAGTATTTCAAGGAACTTCATGGGGGGTGCAGCTTGGCCAAGTAAGACCGCCAGGAGTATCATGGTCTGGCTTCTGCTACCAAATGGCGTAGAGCAACCATTACTGAAGCGGATCCCGGAAGTGGGTGCTACCTTGTGATTTCTATGATATTTCGAGAGCAATGTTCTAGGTTGTCGGGAGCCTTTCGCATCGGTCCAAAATAGATCAACCTTTTATGTGAAAAAATGTGTGGTGTCCCGGTATATGTCGCGTATCTGCACAGTGATTCCGGGAAGTGACCTCAGATCCGTCACGTGTGTCGAGAGGTTACCCCCAAAGCCTGGAAGCTTTGGACACAATCCAGGCTCAAGAGCAGTACGCCCGGCTCATGGACGGTGCCCAGCGCAACGACTTGCAGGTCACTGTGCTGGGGCTGTTGATCGGGCCTTCCGATCATCGACCTAGAGGTCATTGTTTATTCTCTCATGGCAGCATTCCTCTGGCCCTGGGAACCTAAATAGAATGTTCGGTGTCTTGCATTGCCACCCCCCAATTCCCGATAGGGCCACTGGTCGTTCACAACCGTATCTGACACGAACAGACACTAACACCTCGCACATGCGGAGTTGTTTGCATTCACCAAAGGCAGGGCCTTGATGCTGGCCTCTGGGGAATACAAGTTAGGATCCAAAATATAGGAAATTGGTTATTATGCGCACCATGCCCATGCCTGAAGCATGTGAGCACCAGGCAGCCGCGTATTGAGCCCTTTTTTGGGTCCAGGCGGTGGAGCACCTCCTTGAGCATGGAGCCGTGCCCCGCTACCGGGACCGACGGGGACCCAAGAAGACCAAAGGGTAATGTAAGAATTGCAACCGCAGGAAGTGCCATCTGAACGTCTGCGAATTGAAGGGTCAGGGAGTTTAGACTTACGGCACGCGCGCGCCCCCCCCATGGTACCCTCGTCCCCTGTTGTGGTGGTGTGGTTTGTTGGGTTTAGGGTTTTAGGGTGGGGGGGTGCAGGGCTTAGGGGTTTAGGCATTGGGGTTTTGGGCTTTGGGGCTCAGAGTTATCAAGTTTCACTAGGGTTTTCACGGGCTTTGAATTTAGGCTTCTTTGTTGTTGTACTGAAGCCGCGGTGCTTTATTTTTCTGCCTTATGATGCGGGCGTTTTGTTGTTCCTCCGCTGCTACGTCACAGGGGCAAAACACAACACCTGGATTTAAGCCGAAAACCGTTAGAATTTCTCAACATCTAAAGGAAAGCCTTTGTTACAGGGAAACAAATATGTACGGATACATATGCATATATCTTTTCTTTATGTTCATATTAAAACATCTGCTTAATCGACATTTTTAGGGGAAAACCTTTATTTCGCGGGCACACGCCCCGGGAGGGGGCACCGCCTGCGGAGCAAACAAAGCGCCTGCGCAGAGGAAATGGAGGTTCTCCAAGGAACATGTCGAGAAAAGAAAGGTTTTGCTATTCAAACATAAAGGTTTCCCTTTGAACAGGGGGAGGATGTATGGGGGGAGGATACATAGGTTGTCCTTTTTGGAGAAAAGTGACTTTTCCCATTAAAATCCAAGGACGCCCTGGGTGGGCAAAGGAAGTGAGTGAGTGAGTGACCGCGTGCTGGCTGCGCTATTTCAAAATCAGGCGCTCCCGGCCGGGGCATGCAGCGGCCGGAGTCAAAAAAAGGTGCACCAGGCTTGGGCAGTGGCGCTACACCGCTCTACGCGCGGAGCAACAAGAAAGTGCCCGGGGCAGCGGACGCAGAGAAAAACAAGCGTGCAGGCCTGGGTGGGGGGCCCGGGGAGCAGCTGCAGAGCAAAAAATGTACGCCCTGGTCCGGCGCGCGCACAGTCGCAGAACAAAAGGGAAATGCACCTGTCACTTTTTCTTCCGAAAAGGCCGCGGAGCATCACAGCAACACCGGCTTTTGAGATGCTCATTTAGGGTGCTTCAGGGATTTTAGTCTTGTGGTTAAAGGGTTTTTGTTTGGGTTTAGTGGGCGGTTGGGGGTCGGCGATACCATGGCGGCTCTACAACATCCGAAGGATGCCAGCGGCTGGACACCGCTTCATTGGGCTGTTCTCCACGCTGCTTGGCTCCGGGATCGGGATCATTCGGGATTCCATGGATTCCGGCTTTCAGGAGTGACTGGTTTTGAGGTTGTCAAGGAGGCACACGCGAGGCGTTTGGGTAGCTTTGTTACAGGTTCGAGGCCCTTCTTTGAAACCTTTTAGTTTGCTGGCCATGGTGGAGAAGTAAATGCCTGCAAGCGAGGGATCAAAAACCGGCCTTTGTCATAGGGGACCAAGGAAGGGAGGGAGACAAGAAAGGAAGTGAACGGTGTGCAGGCTTGGGCTGCGGTTGGCAGTACACCCGACTCTCGCATGTGCATGCAGCGTTTTGCAGATGTACCATATGTGTGCGACGTAGCACTTATGCAGGCCGGTGAAGCTCTGTGTGATGTTTCTTGTTGGCCCTTTGTGGCTGGCCTGCGTCAGCTGAACTTCGTTCTCACTTTACTTCAGCTTTTCCCACCCGCCCCCCTCGAGGGAGAAGGACTGCTGCCATTTGTTGGCATGTCCAACCAATTTGAAAAATGAGCGCTTGCTGCGTTTGTGTTGCTGCGCAAGAACGTGTGAGGAAAGGGATGGAGAGAGGGAGGCTTCTTGGTTTCTGGGCGCAACTCGCCGCCAATTTTGAGCATGGCTGGGATGGCGAGCGCTTCTCAGACCTCCTGCAGAAGGTGGATCTGGATGGTGCCCGTCGTACTGTGCAGAGGTCGCTTTGGGGTGTTGACATAACCCTCAGGCGTAGCGGTACTCGGGGGCGCGGGCTGCGGTTGGCCTCCACAGGCTTTGTCGTCGACTGTGCCAGCTGCAACTCGAACCTGACAATGAACAACTCTCACAGGCAATTTACGGTCCCTGCCTGGCCTGCGTGAAGTTGGCCCGACCTCCCCTTCTTTCAGACACCGCCAGGCATCAGTTGCGAAACAAATGACTTGGGTGAAATGGCCTGCTGAGGGGACGCAGGCCGTCTCTCTCCGCCCAGCCCCTTAGCTTCGCTTCCTGCGTGCAACCCGTTGCCGGAGCGACAGGCTGCGGCGAGGACGCTGCGAGTCTTTGACCCGTGTAGGCGGTGTTGCAGAGCGCAGGCCCGATGAACTTGAACTGCAGCTGCATATCAGAGCAGAAGGTCTATGTGGACGAGCAAAGAAATTCAAAGAAGATGGTCGACTGCGGGGCCTGATGGATAGCAAGCCAAACATCTCATGTGCCTGGCAAGCCCCGCGCTGTTGTGGAACACTGCTTCGGCCCATGGAAGGCTGCCCGATTGTCGGAAAGAAGCACGCGTCGCTTTGGTACCCAAGGGGGACAGTAAGACACGGCCCATGGGACAGCTTCATGCGTGGCTCGCCAACTCTGACTGTGGGCTTCGTGTGGTCTTCTGCTGAAGGTTTAGGCGTGACGCAGGACTTGTCCCACTTTTAATTTGAGAATCATTTCATGATTCCTTGTCGATGGGCGTTGTTATCCCCATCCAGCAACACTGCGCCATCACCTTCGGAAAGATTTTCGGAAGTCGTGACTTTGAAGCCCCACTCACTGGTGTTGCACATGACTCACGCACATGCCCGAAAACCCCGAAATAACACAATCTGCTATGTTGGCATCTCCAACTTGCCGCGAGCTTCAGGGTGTCTGACCCGACGTCCGTTTTACTAAATGAATGGCTGGGACCGGAAGTGGACTTGTTCGGCAATTTACGGAACCCGATCCGTTTTTCAAGAAAAGGGTTCACATCTAAAAGTTGGGGTTTGGTTTGTTTGTAAAACAAGCCAAGGACGCCAGCGAAATGTCCAAACTCCTCGTGCGCTGGGGTGCTCAGGCGTCCCTGTGTGTAAGGCAACGAGGTTTAGGAGCTCAGGGTTGCTCCGTGTTTAGGATGTAATTAACAAGCTTTGGAAGATGTTTCGGGCATGTAAGCTTGTAAACGATGGGTCTTGTTGAGTTGTCCGCTCATGGGCGACCATTGCAACAGTGCTATGGCTCTGACAGAATTTGAGACCTCCGCCCTAAGCCCGAAGTTTTTCGGCAGAGCGTGAAGCTCTCGGCTTTAGTGGAGGGTGTCGGGTTCTTTCAGGTTTTAAAGCCCCAGGTCCTTGGGGTTCTGTCATGCCGGTAGTTGATGCTTATGGCCTTCGCGTCTGAATTTCTTCCAAAAATTGACGTTTGTGTGTCCAGTGCTGAGGTTACGGTGCCTCTCCCGAGCTGCTAGGCCACGCCGGGTTCGGAGAGAATGCTTGGGGTGTTATTTGGGTGTGCCTCTTGCTGAAGTGCGGCATAGGGTTTAAGAGTTTCAAAATTTGGGAGTTGGGATTGTCCTTTTTGAGGTTTGAAGGCAAGCCCTCTTGCCAAAGCTGCGCCTGAATGCTATTTGCTTGCACTGGCCACAACGGAGCGAGGATTTAATAAAGAGGCGATTTCACGTTGACGTCCCTAAACCCGCCGGAGTGCAACCCTTCATCAGGGTAGTGTCACTGGTGTCAGCGTTCGCCCACAAGTTGCGTGGATGATGGGATTCTGTTGTTGTAACTTGGGGGGTTGCCTTTGCTCTCTTCACAGCCAGCGCCCTTCAGCCGGAGTGGTAGGAAAGCTGCGTTTGGTGGGGCTAGGGGGGCGGGGGAATGTTCGAAGAAAACGATGAACGAAAACACAATTCACAATAAAGCATGTTCAGCATCCGCTGTTGTCAACCAACATCACGAGGGGTGTGTAAGGTCTTTGGGGGCTGTTTCCATGTGCATCCCAAGCAGCAACCAGCGGAAACCCCATCTGTTACTGAACCCTAAGACACGTGGTGTTGTCGAAAGAAGTAAAGGTGAAGAATCCGAGCTGTGTTCACAGCTTGCAAAGCGGGGGCGGCGTGTGGGCGGGGACCTTAAGATGTGTTTGAGAGTCAGTGTCCGGGCTGGCAGGATTTCCTCAAGTCTAAGTGCTGCGAGTAGACTTTGGAATTTCATTGAAGATTCCGGGATGCAGCGAACCCTTCCAAATTTGGACTTCAGGGTCTCGTCCAGGCTGGGATCCAAAAAAATGGTGAAAGCCCGACAGGGTTTGCGGTGTGGATGCCTCGATTGCCTAGATTTTTCAGAGCCTGCTTTGTTCAAAGCCTGCGCGAGAACGGGCAAGCATAACATGGCTTGCAATATTTTTTGAAAGGAGGCCAGCTGTGATGTTCTCCAGCATATGGCTGGTTGCGGCTCTCCAGAACTGCCCTGCAAGCAGTGAGGCACGAGGTTGGCGAAGGTCCTCGGCGCAAACACGCAGCTGCTCACGGCGGCCGAGGCGAAGGGCGAAGGGCGAAGGGTTTCAACATCTGTGTTGAGTCGGAGTTGTCTACAGAAACCTAATCAAAGGTCATACGAGTAGGTGCTTAGGTCTTTTGCTTGATGCTTTTACATTACACAGTCCGGGGATGAAGAAAAAATACCCGGAAAACCTGCGCGGAGATTTCATGTTTCGTGTTTGTCCCTTGCATGAGCTTTGCTGTATTGTGTTCACTGCTCCTACGTGGCACGTCATCTGAGCCTCAGCAAAGATCTGAGGAGTGCATGCTCGCATGCCACCTGTTCTCTTTGCCAATACAATGTCCTTCAAGACAGCCACTTCCTTGACGTCGCAAATGTTCTTCGCATATGATCGCCGACTCTGAGAATTGACTTGCCACGAACAGGCTATGTAACTAGCGGTGTGCCAAAGGAGGCTACATGCCTGTCATTGCCTGTCCTTATTGGGACGCTGAAAAGTGTGCAGATCGAGAGGATGACGTGGGAGATGATTTAGTTTAGTGTAATGCAGTTACATGCTGTGTTGTTGGGTTCTCCATGGTCCACCAATGATTCTACACAATATACATGGCCATGCTGGTTAAACCATCGCGAAAAGGCAGATTGTACTGTAGCGTGTGAGTGTTGGTGCGCATCGACAGTCAGGCCGTGCAAGGCGCGAGGCACATAAGTTTCTGCTTCAGCACGGTCAGCGTGCGCAAGCAACATGATTGATGGTGCATTGCCATCTGAGGCTGGTAAATGTGCCTGCTTCTGTTTTGTCCTAATATTACAGATGCCCGCGCCTTGACTCGATTGAGCAAACTGGCTGCACATGTCTTGAACTGCACATGAAACCCCGGGCCTTGATACTTCATGCTTTGGTGTGCTTTGCAGGTGTCACAGACGTCACGACTGTTCCGTTTTTGAGCCGAGGGGTTGTGGCACTTGGGTTAGGGTTCGGCATCGCAGGGTTCAGGATAGAGGGCGCAACACAGGTCGTATTGCAACTGCAACTGGTCATCGGTCATCGCGTGAGACTTTAGCGCAGTGCCGTGTCTCTGAAGCTGTGTGTGAGGCTACAAAGGCCAATAGAGCAAGCTGGGTTCGCAAACCCTGGCATGTGGACCTTAAGTGGCTTTGAACCCTTCGGGTCTTGAGTCTGCATGCCGGGCAAGCCTTTGCAAGCTGTGGCGGCTTGATATTCTGAACCATTAGCAACTCAAAGTCTTGGAGTTTGTTGCAAGGGAGTCGGAGGGATGAGAGATTCAGTATGTTAGGCATCAACTTTGTCAGCCGTGCCGGGCTGTGCCCAAAGACAGAGGTTGGTTAGGTTAGATGGAGCCAAGCTTTGCAGCAACACTGTGATTGGCCTATATTGGCCTTGAAAGGGACGTTTGGCACCCCTCCTTTTTCTCAGATCTGTCAGAGGCAGGGGACCTCGCATCAGCCCGTCAAGCCGTCGAAGATGGAGCCTGTCAAAGCCCCAGAGAACGGGACGCGCGTTGTGTTGTTTGTTTGTTTGTGTGTGTGTGTGTGTGTGTCTGTGTGTCTCTGTGTCTCTGTGTCTCTGTGTCTCTGTGTCTGTGTGTCTGTGTGTCTGTGTGTCTGTGTGTCTGTGTGTCTGTGTGGCTGTGTGTCTGTGTGTCTGTGTGTCTGTGTGTCTGTGTGTCTCTGTGTCTCTGTGTCTCTGTGTCTCTGTGTCTCTGTGTCTCTGTGTCTCTGTGTCTCTGTGTCTCTGTGTCTGTGTCTGTGTCTGTGTGTGTGTGTGCACCCTGATTCTAAGCTAAGGGTTTTGGAAAGTCTCTAAGGCTTGGCCGGACATTTCGTATAGAAGACTGACGGTGAATGTGTTTTATGCAGGGGGCGCGAGGTCCTTTGACATAGCTCGCGCCAACGAAGCTCTATGTCATCGGGCAGGAAAACGTACCTGCGCGTGGAGTACCTGGGCAAGTTGTTGCAGCTGGTATCCACTATACTGCTTGTGACATCATGTACCCTCAAAACCCGGAATCCTCGGTCCTCAAATAATTTCAAGTCCGAACGCTCCAGATGGCTTGCACCTTGGGACATCGGCCACAATTTCGTCACCATGCATAAGATCTTCGGACAGGGAAGCCAGTGAGAGTTTACTCTCTTATCTCCGTGTGTGGCCTTGTTGCCAATCGCAGTTATCCCGCGAGGGAGCTGTACGGGTCGTTGTGCGACTCATCATGGTACCATGGAGGCCCAATAACCTGGCAGGTTGGGTCGAGAGGCCTAGTGCCACGCATGGAGCCCACTAGACCGCTCTCGAGCGATGAGTAACTTTCAGGTGGATGGGCAACAGAGGGCTAGTCCCAAGAGCAAGAATGGTGGGTCTTAGCACCCGTGTGGCCCGAGGTGGGGCCTAATGGAGGTCCTCCGGACCGCAATAGAGGCCTTAGCGCCAATGGAATTTATGGATGGATTGGCGATGCTCGGCTCCTTATTCAGCCTTAACCTTTTCTTTTTTTTTTTAGTTGCTAGGATCTGTGTGACGCCATGTCTTCTTTCACTTTCCCGTTGTCGGAAGTACCGCATGTTTTGGGCCGTCCCCTCTGACCGAGGGGCGTGTGTGTGTGCACCCTGATTCTAAGCTAAGGGTTTTGGAAAGTCTCTAAGGCTTGGCCGGACATTTCGTATAGAAGACTGACGGTGAATGTGTTTTATGCAGGGGGCGCGAGGTCCTTTGACATAGCTCGCGCCAACGAAGCTCTATGTCATCGGGCAGGAAAACGTACCTGCGCGTGGAGTACCTGGGCAAGTTGTTGCAGCTGGTATCCACTATACTGCTTGTGACATCATGTACCCTCAAAACCCGGAATCCTCGGTCCTCAAATAATTTCAAGTCCGAACGCTCCAGATGGCTTGCACTTGGGACATCGGCCACAATTTCGTCACCATGCATAAGATCTTCGGACAGGGAAGCCAGTGAGAGTTTACTCTCTTATATCTCCGTGTGTGGCCTTGTTGCCAATCGCAGT